TTAATCTATGCACGTACGATTTTTGACATTTCAATAGTACAATCGTTCTCATAAGGGCTGAAGTGACACCTAAACTTAGTGTTTATTTGCTCAGTATAGCTTTCGCTGTTGTATGTAAAAATAAATCTGTATTATTGTAAACATGTATAACAATTATTTGAAAAGAATACGAGCTGAGTTTCTTGTCAGTTCTCATCTCGAAATCATTCCGAACTGACGGTAGATTTGACATATAAGAGTCTGTAATAGACCTACAGAATTAAGATATTTTGATACGGTCTAAGGATCTTTGCCTGTTCCATCACTGAAAAGGAGATGGACGAATATGGGGAAAAAAAATTAAGATATTTTGAGTTTGTGTTCGCCGCGACAGGCGACACCACGCGACACCACGCGACACGACGCGACACGTCGCGACACCGCACGCGTGCAGCTGACACCCGCCATTGGTGATTTGTGAGTACTGCACCTCATATTTCATTGCACTACACTGTAATATTTTACCATATGATTGATGGTCTCCAACGTTACCATTCACGAATTAATAAAGTGTACGTTTGAGTTTCATTTACGATAATGAATAATCTTAGGACAATTCACACAGCGCCATCTATTCCCAAGTTAAGCTATGTAAAGCTTGTGTTATGGGTACTAGATAACTAATATATAATTTTTTTTTCGTAAATACATACATATTATACATAGAAAACACCCAGACTGATACAAACAATCATACTCATGAATATAAATGTTTGTGCCGTGCGAGAAATCGAACCCGCGACCATCGGACGTAAAGCGGTGTGCTAGACAGAGACTAGATATATTTGTTGTTAATCTACAATTTGATTCAAGATGGGTAATATTAGTTTTGAATGTTAAGAAATAGCTTTATATAGTGTGCGATATATACATCATAGATTAATTAAAGCTATATGATTACATACACATCAGTATGTACATAGGTTCATCCCCATACGCTGGAACTTAAGTGGTCTCGCGCAGTACGGTTTCAGAGCTTCCTCCCGCGTACACTTGGATTGTGGAATGAACTACCTGCCGAGGTCTTTTCGAGAGACTATAGCATGGACTTTTTCAACAAGGATGTATTAAGGTTTGTTAAGGGTTGATAACGCACGACACTCCTGAAGTTTCAGGTGACCATAGGCTACGGTAACCGTTTACCATTAGATAGATGGGCTGTATGTTTGTTCGGCAAGGTCATAATATAAAAAATATATAAAACTAAATAATTATGCAGTAATTAAGAACAATAATATAGAGAGCCTCTCTTATAAAATGTGGCGGACTTTCTTCTGGTGTACACGATTAATATTCCTGGAAGTAAGTGGAAACAAGTCGAGATTTAGGGGCGTTAATGAAAAAACTTGTAGGAGCACGCGGCGCGGCCCGAAGTTTGGGATTAACTTGAAGTCTCTCGTCATCCGCCGTCCACTGTCAGCGGCTCTCAGGGCCGGACTAAAGATGTGCAATCTAGGCACGTATCTAGGACCCGAATTTTTTGGGCTCGTAAATTGGATATATTATTTATTGTTTTTATTTAACAGAAAAACGTTGGGGATAATTGTTGTTAAAACGTATCCAAATTATTCTGAATCATTGATTGTTAATGCCCGACCGGGAATTACAATGTTGCTTAGCGCCCACTTTAATCTTAGTCCGCCACTGGAGGCTCTCCCTACTGACTACACTCCGACACCTTGCGTGGGCTATTCATATAACTTTGAACCGTTTATTTCGACTAATAATTAGTATAGTTTCTAATATAAATTATAAAGAATTCAGAAACTTTACAGATGAAAGGATGTATAGAAGCATCGTCATTTTTAAAGCTAGAGACTGAAACTATTTTTTTAGATTTGATTAAATATAAACAAATACTACATTTGAACTTAGTAACAAATATACTCTTAAGGGGGTAAAATTTGGTTTTGTTTATATTCCTTCTATGTATATTTATGTATTATTGTAAATGTAATAGTATAAATATTATTATATCACTTTTTATGCCTCGTTTTTTAGTTTTTTTTTTTTGTTATGATTATTTTTGCACCGCCAACAATTATATTGTTAAGTCCGCCAAATGTACTGTTTCTTTCGTAAATTCGTAATATTTGAACGATGAAGTTTTCCTTTGGCATTTTTGGCTATTTTATTAAATATTTTGGCTATAATATTTGGATCATTGTTTTGTTCGTCAGAAGTAGATTTAAAGTAGATCACTATTCCGGACGAAGTCGCGGGCACAGCTAGTCGTCCAAAAAACAATCCACAATTACTTGGTTTATACGTTGACTGGTTTAAATTTACCAAATGGCTGCAGGTACAGAATTTTCTATACATGTTGTAATTTTCTGTTAAGAGTTAAATATTTACAGGGTTATAGTTTACAGTTATGTACCATACCACACCATAGGGGGAAGGGAATTGTTAGTAATGTGGTGTAATGACCCCATTGCTAGCAATGTACCATGTCGGGTTGACCTCAACGCAGTTCTTCCTGGAAACCATCGTGATAAGTTCCTAGTGAATTTGTTACGATGGGCTAACTGATGTTACCTCATCCTTATCTTATTCATCCACTGGTGCCCCGTCAGCGTTAACCGTTAGCGCTTCGGCAACACCATGTCATTATTATCCACAAAAAAAAAATTGCACTATATTCAATAGTTTCTAATATCAGATATGACGGCCGATAGAGATCAGTGGAAGGGATTCACAGTATGTCATTCTCGCTGACCCTAAATAATGGGCCGTTCAATTCTTATGTACGTAAGCAGATTTATTACAAGTATTTACCCCCATCACAAGGGGTGTCAGCAAAAGTGAGCAAAGCTCTTACCCTCCCATGCCTACGTAAACATTTCTCAATTAATGTATAATTTTTTTAGCAAAGATAATGTGGGTTGCCATTTGCGTAAAGAAGTAAATAAGTACCGATGACGTAAACATGATCTAGATCTCCACTCCCCCCCTCCGCCCCCATAGTTCTTACGTATTACTTGAACGGACCCTAATGGGATAGAGGCAAAATAATTAAATAGTTTCTAGTTTAAATTCTATTGGTCAAAAAAAAATGTATTATGATTAAATTTAGTGATTTTACATTTTATTGAGAAAATCTGAAATTTCAATATCCACACCAATCTACATTAGTAATATTATTTTTATTTTAGATTTTTTATCACCATCTGCAACAGCATCTATATTATTGTTTACTCTACAATTGGGATGCATCGAGCAACCAGCAAGCAGTATCGAACTACTGTGTTAGTAATTAGTTGTTAGTACAATGTTAGAACACAAACCAAACCACACGGTCCCACACACACATATGCGTTCACATAGCACGACGAAACTTCTGTGGATACTCAGTGCAATGGTACTAATTGTAGATATTTCATACAGCGCCATCTAGTTCCTTAAGCAGAATTTATCTTGAGAAAAGTACTGGGCCCATAACCTTTTATATTATATTCGTAAAACAAAGGAATCGAGTGACAAAATGTATAAGAGTAACTATTTCTTTTTTATCGTACAAAAGTCAAATCATATAGAGTCTATATTACAATAACTGTCATGTTAAACGAACTATCGTGATAGTAGGGCTATATAAAGTATGTGAGTTCCACTAAGAATCATCGTACTATGTAATACCTCCGACACCCTGGGATCATCAGACGTACACATAAGTTAATGAAGGGGTTTACATACTCAGCAAATGAAACGAGTCGTTAGTATCCCAACTATTTATTACCAAACCAACGTTAATATGTACAAACGAACCCACTACATAATGTGCAGTTAACCGACCGACCAGTGCTACAACGGTCGAGTGGTGACAACCAAGTTTTTTTCAATTTTACTCATTGAAATTTGAACACCACTAGTTTTTTGGTCCGTAACGAGCCACTCGAGCGTCGTATCACGTGATCGACGCATGATCGTTAGCAGGCAGTTCAGGTGACACCCACAGTCCGTGCCCGAGCGTGACACTCACCGCTGCTGGACTCCGGGGAGGTGCGGCGCGGGGCGGCCGCGGGGGGCGCGGGGCTCGAGGGGGCCGCGGGGGGCGCCGGCTCGTCAGCCGCGGCCGCCGGAGCCGCGGCTCGCAGCGCCTCCACCGACGGTGCGCGGCCGACCGTCGGCGCGGGATCGACCGCGCGCGCGAGTTCGTCCCCCAACACGAGTTCGTTCGTCAACGCGAGTTCGTCGGTTCGCGCGATTGCAACCGCGGGTGCCGCGTCGTCACGTTCCCCGGCGGCCCGCACTCGCGCCCAGTCTTCGCGGAGACGTTGGACCTTGTCGCGTAACTCGGGCGCTACGGTCTGGTCGGCTGCGATGCACTCGCGCTCTATGTTGGTGTAGTTCTCCAGTACTTCGCGCACCTCCGCCTCGTACTCCTCCAGTACAGCCTGTGGACAATGACATGTAGTATATGTGACCTGGTTGCCGGTACTGATCTGCGGTACCCTCCAAATGATCTCCCATCCTATTTAAATGGGTATAGAAATTATAACGGCCCCAGCCGAGGTTCGAATTCTATATCGCTCTAATCGATCTCCCGTCTATTTCAAAAGGGGATCAAAATTACAACGGTCCAAGCCAAGATTCGAACTCTTAGAGGTGACCTCAGATTGAAGTCTTCTGTCGAATTCAAACAGGCATCGAAACGACGGCTAAAGTCAACGTTCAGAACCCTAGTGATGCCGACTGAAATCGTATCTATCAGTTGGCTTTCAGTCGTTTCATAAATCCTTCGTCGTCGTTTAAGTACCATTTACACTTACCTCCTATCGTCCGATAAAATTGTAAAACTTTGCTGCAGGTAATACATTACAATATTTCTAAAAACAGACCCTTAGTGGCGGCGTCTGTGTGCGCTTTCTCATCGTTAGGTGAAGTTGTAAAGGCCAGCTGTGGTCAAGAGCATTAGTTTAAAAAAAAATGCAGTAACCTGGGGTGGCAGGCGGCGCGCGGCGGCGGCGGCGCGCGGTGCGGTGCGTTGTAGCCGCGCGTCGCAGCGAGCGAGCGCGGACAGCTTGCCGCGCACCACCTCCCCGTGAGACGACACCTCGCTGTGAGCCTGCACACACACACACACACACACACACACTCACATCTATACTAGATTTAGGACTGATACAGTAAATACACTTATCATTATCATTACATAGTATAAAACAAAGTCGCTGTCGCTGTCTGTCCCTATGTATGCTTAAATCTTTAGAACTACGCAACGGATTTTGAAGCGGTTCTTTTTATAGATAGAGTGATTCAAGAGGAAGGTTTAACGTTGTTTTGCCATATAAATTAAATCGCTATAAAAAATGAGGGTGATGCTAGAAGGGTGAAAATATAGGGTTGAGTGTATTTTTCAATACTAAATAATAATAAAATGAAAATAAAATATTGTCTAAAAAATAAAAAAAATAAATTTAGAGGTGGATATCCCTTACCATTTAAGGGTATGAAAAATAAATAGTAACCGATTCTCGGACCTACTGACTATGCATATAAAATTTCATAAAAATCGATCAAGCCGTTTGGGAGGGGTATGGTAACTAACATTGTGGTACAAGAATTTTATATTTATTTTTTATTTATTTATTTATTTATTTTCGGAAAACCAAGGCTATTTACAAACATAGTTATAAACATAATTAAATGATAACGGCCACTTATAGGTTTCCACGGATAAAAACGTAATATAAAAAATATATAAGATATACAAATATACACATATACAAATTAAATCGATTATCAGTTCGAACTAAACTTTGACCCTATAAAAACGTGTATCTCTCTTTTTAAGCAGGATTCACATGGTGCAAAGTTTCCCGGGCGAGCACCGGCTGGTAATGTTTCGTCCGCATGTATTCCCCCAATATTCCACTTAACGTCAACCGCAGTAATGACGTCGACAACATATGCTCGATAATGACCGCACCGCGCCGCACCGTACCAGGGATGTCGCGAACATTTTAGAATAGAATAGAATAGAATAGAAAATCATTTATTCAAATAAACTTACATTGAAGCACTTTTGAATAGTCATTACATTTTTTTAATCTACCGCTAATTCGGAAAGCTGTCTCATCACAAGAAGAACAGGCAAGAAACTTGCGTGTTGCTCTTTTAAATAAATATATTCTTACTTTACATTTTTAACTTTAAATATGTGAATACAAACTACCAATTAGCACTATTTCAAATAAACACTCAAATAGAAAAAATATTGAATATATAAACAACTGGTTAAACAATTAATAAGAGGAAATCAGTCACAGTGATTAAAGCAGACCAGTCCCTACAAGCAGTATCCGTTCACGAGTATGACGGATAAGCCAGCCTATTCGCATCTACATCCGCAAATGCGGAATTCCCGTATCAATTTAGACATCCGCAGCCACTTACGCATCCGCAATAATCGATGCGGAGTTGCATGCGGATGCGGATGTGGCACAAGTTACTACAAGAAATTGCGTGGGGCCACCGATCAACACGTGCTCATTCACCAATAGGAGCGAAGTTTCGTTCGATGACAAATTCAACGTATTTGTTTGAGTTTCTTATCAGTTCTCATCTCAAGATTATTCCGAACTAACGGTAGATTTAACATATCATAAGAGTCTGTAATAGAATGCATAAAGATATTTTGAATTTGAATTTGTTATTGTGTATCATTTCTGTACCGTAAATTAAACATTACGTATCGTATAAATATGAAACGATTATATTTATTTCTGTACCTACATAACTTTTTGTCAATAAAATCTAAATCCGCATCCGCATCTTCACATCTGAACGCAAAAGAATCCGCATCCGCATTCGCATCCGCGGATGTGAAGAAATTTCCATCCGTAACATCCCTGCTCCTAGGGCTACCTACTGCGTGCGCGTCCCCCGTCCCCCGGAGTGCACACGTTTGTCACATGTCATTTCCAGCATTACACACAACAATCTCTTCTTTCTGAATTACCGCGTTTGCGGCTCTATCTACAAAAAAAATATATAATATTTTGAAAAAGTTGACAATATATCACTAAGTTCAAACTACTTCCAACCCACATATTAAATGAGTAAAAATAAAAAAATAAAAAATTCCTAGATAATTAACACAGCGCCATCTAGTTCTACGCTAAGCACAGCTTGTGTTTACTCGACAATTGATATACATACATAGTTTTTTTGTAAACACATAGTACACGTGCGAGGAATCGAACCCGTGACCATCGGAAGTAAAGCGGTGTGCTAAACCACTAGACCATCATGGTCGTCAAAAGCGGCTTAAATAATATTTTCACTATAGAATTCGATGCGAACTCGTAAAAGAATTTCGTAGGTTCTTTATTGCAGGAGTGCGGCGCGACGCGGCGTGCGCGTGCTTTATGTACAAATTCCCACTAAAGCTCACCAAAGCTCTTATTGTAATAACTGTTTGATCGAATTGTAATCGCACATAAATATGTACGTATGTATATATATATTTGCGAGGCTATAAAATGTTTTATGACTGAAATACAGCACGCGCACTGCGGTAAGACAGTTTTGATTACGACTGTACCTATCTGTATTTCCACGTACAAACACCGTTTTTTTGGCTGTACGGTAATAAAAACTTGGATCCTTCTAAAGCCGAACAGTGGGGGAGATGGTCGTTAGTTATCGGGGACTTATGTCTCAATTACTAGCGTTGTAAGTACTATATATCCCACACGGTCGCACATGCCAACTATTGGGGATGAAATGGTAACTATGGGGGGTGAATTGAAGTGGCACTATCGGTAATTAATATTAATCGCCCTTTTCTATAGGTTATTCAGAAATAATATATGGGTGTTTATTTAAAACGCATTAGCACAAAATTAATACAGTATGTATAGATATTAATAAATATACGATTGTTGTATCCAAATAGATTTTTTATTCTTCACTAAATAAAGACTAACTGCCATTTTTATAAATCTTTAGGAAATAAGAGAAAGCAGCAGTGGATTAAAATTATAAAAATGATAAAAATTCAAAAATCATTTATTCATGTAAGACATTTTAGCCGCTTATGAACGTCAAGTTTTTACATTATAATTTTTTTCCCTACCCTCCAGTTCGGTATATAGATCCAATTGAGAAGAACTGGCAAGTAACTTAATTGAATTACTTTTTTTTTAAAGCCAGTCTATTTACAATGTATAGGTATATGTAATCCCGTGCATGAACAACTATTGCCATGCACACTCGTCATTCAAGTAATCGTTTAGTGAGTAATAGGGTTTGCTCAGTAAATATTATTAAACAATGTTTTGAATTTATTTAAGGGTAATTCCAATATATCCTTTAGTATCTCGTTGTAAATTTTTATACCTATTCCCATAAGAGACTTTTTCTAAACGATACTCTCAGGATTTTTTCTAATGTCCCCAATATTAGAAAAAATCCTGAGATATACAAAGCGACACCTAAATATATATAAGTCAAAGGTGACTGACGTAGTGATCTATCAACGCACAGCCCAAACCACTGGACGGATCGGGCTGAAATTTTACATGCAAGTAGATGTTATGACGTAGGCATCTGCTAAGATAGGATTTTGATTAATTCTACCCCCAAAGGGATAAAATAGGGGATGAAAATTTATATGAAACTTTGTCAATTTTAAACCGATCGGGCTGAGACTTTGCAAGCTTAAACCTACTATGACGTAGGCATCCCCTAAGAAAGGATTTCGATAAATTCCACCCCTAAGGCGATAAATTAACGCGAGCAAAGCCGCTGGCAAAAGCTAGTATTCTATAAAAATGTACAAACAATTAATTGTACGATGGCCAGCAATATATATCCAACAAAACCAAATAACCTTTTTATAGTGTCATATATCATAAAACAAACACATATTTAAATTAATTAGCTGTTTGAAAGAGAAATGTTGGTTTGTAGCTTAATACTGTATAAATTACTATTTGTTAGGAAACGACAAAAATGTATTTTTACGACGTTACGTTACGACGATAGTGATGGAAACACTATTATACGTATGTACGTAAATTTTGAAATTCAATTTTGGAAACGTCATTTAAAGCTTTAAAACTAATTTATTAAAATAAGTATCCGGTTAAGCAAATCGGTACCGTAGGTACATCACTACCCCGCTGTAGATGGTAACATTATTTGGAAATTTGACATTTACACCTGTCAGTTTAGACTCCGGGATTAAAAAACAGACTGTTGGTACTCTTTTTTGTAAATACATATATAATATAATATAAATTGCACCGTGCGAGTATGATTCTATATATATTATGTATGTAAGGTATTTACAAAAAAAAATTATGTACGAGGAAGGTACCTGTTGTAGCTGTCGCTGCAGATGCACGAGTTCCTCGTCGGGAAGCTGGCGGCCGGCTCGCACCACCTCCATCTCCCGCAGGTGGCGGGACAACTCCTCCTCGCGAGCCTGCACAGGTCATACACATACATACATACATGACACTGGCCATCTGAACCCCACCTTGGGGGTTGAACGTTGGGACTTTGTGGAGAACCTCCTTGCCCCGACATCAACTCCAGGGGGCAACATCCCCGGATAACTAGCCTGGGAGTCTTTTAGGAGGGAGGGAGGGGGGGGGGGGGATTATTTAACTAATTTTTTTATATGAATTTCATGATATGAAGATAAATGAAATATCTACATTTCATTTATCTTCATATCATGAAATTCATATAAAAAAATTAGACATTTTCCATTCAACACTGCTCCAGTTCCGGAGACAATTCTAAAATAAAAGTAGCCTAAGCTGCTCTTTATTACATCAGCTACCTGCCAATAAAAGTCCCGTCAAAATCAGTTCCGCCATTTCAGGGATTAACCGGAACAGACAGACAGACAAAAATTGTAAAAAATGTAATTCTGGTGTATGTACCGTATTTATATTCATATGCATGTTGTAAAAACAGTTATTCCAACATTACAAACAGACACTCCAATTTTATTTATATATATATATAGATGTATAGACTATGTGATAAGCAATGAAGAGAAGTGTTTCGCAGACGCGCTGTTAATAGTACAGGGATGTATTGCGCCCCCAGAGGGGTACTAACACTCCGTACAGACGTACAGACGTACAGAGCGCGGCGAGCGGCTCCGGGGGCGCACGCGATATAAATTCAGTTTTACGAGCGACACCCGCCTGCCGTCTCCGCATTGCATGTGCGACGCAATGCATACGACCTGTCCTATGTGTATGTATGTAGAAGTTTTTATTTGCTTGTCTACTAAAATTAATTTGAAAGTTTTTAAAGTTGTTTGGCTGTATGACTTAAACAGCGGATCCATTTGATTAAAATTTCAGCGTTGTGATACTAGATAACTGATACAAATACATAGATATTAATTTATTTTCATAAATACATACATGTTGTACATTGAAAACACTCAGACCGACACAAACAATCATAATACAAATGTTTGTGCCGTGCAAGGAATCGAACATGCGACCACCGGACGTAAAGCGGTGTGCTAAACCGCTAGACCACCGAGGTCGGCAAAAAACAATAATATATGACAAAAAATAATAACAAAAATTATATATAGTACAATAGAAAAACATATACCAAATCGATCTTCCGATGTTGTTTAATTATAAAACGTAACGTATAAACTCAAAAATATATCAGCGTTGACAAACAAATCAAATCAATAACTAGTCACTCGATAAAGTATCACTCGCGGCAACCAAACAAACAACCGATCACTGTGAATAGACCCCACATGAGGTAACGTTAAATCTATTTTGCACGGAGCAAGAAGGGAACCTAAACTACGTGGACACGACACGAAAAGTCCACCACAAACAAACATCCAAACTAACATACACTCACGGAAATGCCGGCCGGGAAACTGACGCCCAACGTTAGCACAATATTTCATTCCCACCGTGTGAACTGGCAATCTAATGCCGATTTGCACTCTGCTACTAGAGTCTTAAAGTCTAAAATGCGGAGGCTATTTGCGGTCGTTTGTGATGTTTTGAAATTAAAGATGTGAACAAGTGATGGGACAGGAATATTTTCATAGATTCAGAAATAGACCCGGTGCGTCGTCACCGCGGTACTAGTGGTGCGTATACCGCTCACAACTTTATATCCATGTAGGGCCATTACGGATCTACTACCTCTCACACTTAAAAGTATAATTTATAAGTTAAAACAGATTAACAATACATAAGTGTACACTACACATGCGAAAACTTTTTATGATTAAATTTTATATTTAAATATTAAATCTATTATATACTTTTAATATAATATTTATTTATTTATTTATTCTTTTGCACGCAAATGTATACATTGCAGACTTAATGCCTGATGGCATTCTCTACCAGTCAACAGTCGCGGTGATCAGAGATAATAAGGCGGTGCACTTTAATAATTAATTGAAAGAAAAAAGAAAAACAAAAATTATAACAAATAGATACATAAAAAGAGTACATATATATACAGATAAAAATATATAAAAATAATAATATACCAATATAAAATATATAAGTTTATGGATTACATATAAATAAAATATAAATTTATACTACGAATAATATGTGTAGTTATGGAAATATGTATAATATAATATATATACGTACAGTGAAAACTTCTATAAAAACTTCCCCTGTATCAAATCGCAGCGGGAGCCTAAGAATCAAATATATACGTTAAAAAAACTATGAAACAAATAAAGAGGAAACAAAAATCTGTCACACTTACAATATTCTTGGTCCATACCCACAATAATGCACAGCAAAAAATACCAAGTATCAATAGAATAGAATAGAAAATAATTTATTCAAATAAACTTAATTTAAGCACTTTTGAATAGTCATATTTTTTTATTCCACCACTCATTAACAGATTCAGCACAAGAAGAACGAGCAAGAAACTTGCTTCTTACTTTTTTAATTTTAATTTTACTCTTTTATATAAACGTTGTTCTAAGTAAATACACAATAACAAGGATTAGGCCTGCGACAATCAACCGACTGATATGCACTCAATATTTGTGCAATCAGATAAGTGTAAACCTTATCTCAATAACAACTAGAGATTTATTAAAAAGTATACAGAATCACGTGGGCCGGGCCGTCATTGGAACGAAGTAAGTAGGCGTCTGCTGACGAGCGCTGTCAGCGAGGTGATCGCTGTGATGACAGCGCCCTGATGTACAGTTCAACATTTTATCTATACATATAAATAAAATTGTAGTGTCTGTTTGTAATATTGAAATAACCGTTTTTTACTACATGCATATGAACATAAATACGGTACATACATCAAAATATATTTCTTTTTACTATTTTTATCTGTCTGTCTGTTTGTTTGTTCCGGCTAATATCGGTAATGGCCGATTTTGACAGGACTTTTATCGGCAGGTAGCTGTAATAAGGAGTAACTTAGGCAACTTTTATTTTAGAAAAATAAAGTTAAATTCCACGCGGACGAAGTCACGGGTGCAGCTAGTAAGTATATAAAATTCACGTGTCACGATGTTATTCAATTCAAAATATCTTTATTCATGTAGGTCTATTACAGACTCTTATGATATGTCAAATCTACCGTCAGTTCGGAATGATTTCGAGATGAGAACTGACAAGAAACTCAGCTCGTATTCTTTTCAAATAAATGTTATACATGTTTACAATAATACAGATTCATTTTTAAATTCTAATTTGAGAGTTAGTTACCATACTTCTCCGAAACGGCTGGGTCGATTTTTATGAAATTTTATATGCATATTCAGGTCTGAGAATCAGCTACTCTCTATTTTTCATACCCCTAAGTGATAAGTTTTGTACAATTTTTTTTAACTTTCTCATTATAAAATACATATCTTAAATTTTTACCCTTCTATCACCAACCCCTATTTTTTAATAACGGTTTTGGTTCACGTATTATTATTTAAAATTACTAATTACTGACCCCGCAAAACATTATTTTACCATATACTTAAATGAACATCGCTATTAAAACATAGTGGTTCGCGTTAGAAGATTGCAAATTTAGTAGTGTATATATTTTTAATGCCACTTCAAACATAAAAAAAATGTCCAAGAAATAAAAAAATAAATTGGTTGGTGGACCTAGACTAAAAAACAATAAAAAAAATTGGTGGAAGAAAAAAAACAGATAACATACTTATAGGATTTTATCAAAATCGGTCCAGCCGTTTCGGAGTATTACGTACACTAACAGTGACCCGTGACGCGTCGCCGCACGTGAGGTTCCTCCCCCGAGTCTGTTTACGTGTATTTTTGTTACGCCACGACACAAATGAACTGGGTTATTTTTAAACGCGCTAAATTCGGACTGACTCTGTACTAGTAACAATTAACTTGAGTACGATATTCTTACTAATGTTATAAATGCGAAAGTAACACTGTCTGTCTGTCTCGCTTTCAGGCCTAAACTACTGAACCGATTTAAATGAAATTTGGCACACACATATAGTCTAGACCCTAAGAAAGGACACTTCTTTTAAAATTGGAAAGGGGCTTCTTTTAAAATTGGAAAAAGGGTAGTAAGGTATTGAAAGGGTTGATGAAGGTATGTATGGATTATTGTCATTTTTAAAACTAGAATTTTGAAACTTATTTCTAAGGCTGCTGATTAAATATAAATAAATATGACATCATCTGCTTCTTCCTTATCCCATTTATTTGTGGTCGGCTTAATATGTTTTTCGCTTCCATTCTTCTTTCTTCCATCCCTGTTCGCTGTCATCGCGTTATTTACTTCCTTTCTTACCATATCATCTTTCACACAGTCCATCCATCTCTTTTTCGGCCTTCCTCTGCCCTTATAACCATCCACATTCATTTGTAACATCTTTCTTAAAATATTATCCTCGTTCCTACGCATTACATGTCCATACCATGATAGACGATTACTCCTCAACCTCTCCGACACCGGCGCCACTTTCATACTTCCTCTAATGTATTCATTCTTTATCTTATCTTTATCTTAAATAAATATGACATTCACAGTCAAAAACTTTGGGGATGAAAGTTTGTATGGGAATTCTTCATTTTTGAAACTAAAACCATAAAACTATTTTCTTCTTTTTTGGGTCAGACAATTGAATATTTTTCTTTATTTGGCCACTATAATACGCGGACGAAATCGCGGGCACAGCTTGTTGAAAATAAACAATTATAATAATAATATAATAATAATAATCTCAGGACAATTCACACAGCGCCATCTAGACCCAAGTTAAGCTAGCTAAAGCCTGTGTTATGTGTCCTAGACAACTGATACAAATACATAGATAATTTTTATTTTTCGTAAATACATACATATTATACATAGAAAACACCCAGACTGATACAAACTATCATACTCATGAATACAAATGTTTGTGCCGTGCGAGGAATCGAACCCGCGACCATCGGTCGTAAAGCGGTATGCTAGACCGCTAGACCACCGAGGTCGTCGAAATTACTCGAGCGTTGCTTTTCAATTAATTATTATACAATTATAGATACAGTTTTCAATTTGACGCAGTCATTATTTATACGTATACTAGCTGACTCAGCGTTGTTTTGCCATATAAATTAAAATCGCTATTAAAAAATAGGGGTTGATGCTAGAAGGCTGAAAGTTTAGGGTTGTATGTATTTTTCAATCCTAAATAAGACTAAAATGAAAATAAAATATGTCGAAAAAAATATATTTAAGGGTGGATATCGGTACATACGGAACATACACCAAAATATCATTGTTTACAATTTTTGTCTGTCTGTCTGTTCCGGCAAATCTCTGAAATGGCTGGACCGATATGACGGGACTTTTTTTGGCAGGTAGCTGATGTAATAAGGAGTAACTTAGGCTATTATTTTAGAAAGATAAAGTTAAATTCCACGCGGACGAAGTCGCGGGTACAGCTAGTTGTTAATAAATAAATAATTATTTCCACATTAATTTAACTAAACAAACAAAACTACTGAACCAATTTAAATGAAATTAGGTAGACAGATAGTATAAACTCTGAGAAAGGACATAGGCTACTTTATGATTGATCTATGACTGACCTATGACAGACCACGCGGACGAAGTCCCGGGTACAGCTAGTAATTAATATATAGAACTGGGTATCGAAGTGGCAGCACATAATAAAACCGACAGAATCCAGAAGAATAATCTATCCGCTAGAACAATGAAACTTTTTTCTTTGGGTTTTTGGATTAAAATATTAAATATATGCTATCCGAGGTATATACCAATACACGTAGTCGCGGCCACAGCTAGTAATAAACATATAGAGTTGCGTACCGAAGTGGCAGCACATAATAAAACCGATAGAATCGGTGAATATTTAGTTGGCGGCTGTCAAAACATACGATTACGTAAATCAATCGAGTCGGTGCGGCATTAGCGGGCAGATGCGGCGGGAGATAAACGCGATTATAGAAATATGTATTACAGAGGCCGCCCGTACAAACAGGCCACCTGCCGACTAACGACACACACCCTACACTACAAACACATATGTCATCAACAGTTATTCACGACTGTTTGTGATGTTTGCTCCGGTCAGGTGTTCCACAGGAATTTTATGTGCTCTTCAATGAATTTTGTATTTTATAGATTACTAGCTGTCCCGGCAAACGTTGTTTTGCCTTAAAATAAAATAAAAATTAGGGGTGGACTACCCCTAACATTTAAGGGGATGAAAAATAGATGTTGGCCGATTCTCAGATCTACTCAATACGCTCACAAAATTTCATGAGAATCGGTCAAGCCGTTTCGGAGGAGTATGCGAACGAAAACTGTGACACGAGAATTTTATATATAAGATAAATTATGTAATAATAGTCTATGTGACGTGGAAT